CCACACTCTAATATCAGGAATTCACACAACAAACTAGCACACGTGTGAACGCTCTGTATTGTTACACGTGTGTTAATTCTCTCTACCTCTGTTTTTACCATTTAAAAGAACGCCATTGTCGCCAAATATATACTAAGCATTTCAACTGTTCAACTAACATGTTGAACATGTTTTAAGCGCTACAGCCCTTAAAGACTAAGGTACATTTCATTTATCCGCAAAGGGAAATGGGTCCATCTGCATTTGACCCATCCTGCAGAGCCACTGGGGCCTCTGTCAGGAGCAGTGGTCACCACAGCGCAGCGTCCAGGGACAATCTCCAGATGTTGCTCAACACTGCAAGAACTGGAGGGTTTTACCTATAGTGTAGTTTTTAATGGTAAGTGGTAAGTACCCAGAGGAAATCAGAGCAGACACAGGGAGCACATGCAATATCCTTTCAGAAAGGCCTGCTGTTGATCTCCAAATATAATATCTAAACCATCGGTTTTGAATTGTGCATTTTTGGACACTGAAAGACTCTTCACATGGCATTGTTCATGGAGCAGACTGACAGAATCAAGCTGTCAGTGTGTGCCATTGGCCCTGAGCTGTAAATGTATAGTTTTCTACAAAATGAGGAGTCAAAATAAATGAAATAAATATGTTGACCAAATGCACTGCACTACAATCCAGTGTTTACTATGACCTTTTATTACAAGACAACAATAATAGCATACAAAGGTTTTTTTTTTTTAAATACTCATGTAACCTATACCTTTACCCTTATATAAAGTGATGAAATAGAATGCATTATAAATTCTATAAGAAAGAAAAATGTATACTTGCCTTCCTCAGCCTGCAATTAGTATACCCGGTCTCAAAAGCTACAGGGGCTACACTATCATGATGCAATGTGTAAAAGTCAAAACATTTTTCTCCAGTATACTCTCTTTTTACACATAACGCACAGTTTGTGAGCCAAAACGAGTTAAAGAAGAGCACAGTGTTCCTTTTATTTGAAGTCAGGGGCAGGTTGCAAGGTTCAGGTACACAGAAAATCTACTCCACTACAAAAGGTAAATTGCCTGTCTGCAAACTGGCCGTGAACAATGAGCGCAGGTTTAAAGGTTAGTTTCGTGGATTTACAAGAAAAAAAGGGATGATAAAAACTTAGTAGAGCCACTCAGGGAAAAGCACGCAAGCCACTGAATGGGCAGGAGTTGTAGTTCCTAAAATGTAACTTCTAAAGCTCTCAGCGCTTAGACTGTTGAGTTGAATTTGAATCCAATAAAGAGGCACAGGGGTCACACATTCACGAGTATGTTTATCTGTTTTTAAAATACAGAAAAAAACATTCATTCCATGAGAAAAACAGCATTATTTCACATATCTGAAATAAACTCTTTGACATTAACCCTCTAAGGTCTAGGGTCATTTTGGGGAACTTTCCTTGCCTGGTTTTCTTTGTGTATAATTGCTCATAAAACAGTCCTCTTTTATTGTTGGTGGCCTTTCAAAATGTTATTAAATTAAAATTAAATTAAATAATTACAATAAAAATAGGTTTTCTTCACTTATAAAATGAAAACTTATAATTAAAAAAAATCGTATTTAAATGTAAATTTGCAAGAAATGTGTTTAAATATTCTATTGTGAGCCAGTTTAATCAAACCTGAACATATTATTCAGAGATATGCGCAGATCTGTTAGATAACATTAGCGCATCCAATGCCACTGGTTTAAAGTGAATGTAGAGAACTAAAAATTTATAAATATAGGCCCACCTAACCATTCACAGACTGGACAGGACACAGATCCCAAAACAGTGAAAAGGTTATGACGACAAACCATCACAAAAACATTTCAGTGCTATCACCAGAGACTACATTTCACTTGAGACTTTGTGAAGTCCACATTGCACGACTTTGAGCCTGTACACAACCCAACGCAAACACACAGCGCTCAAACCACCACGATCAGAGCTCACATCAAGCTTTAGTGCTCTCAAGCCAACATAGGACAAGCACCACACACGCATCTGTCGGGACGACATTCCCCCAAGTGATGCGTCAGTGGGCGTAGAACACATGTGTGCGCCCGCCAAATCAATCACCAAATACACAGCGACAAGACTAACTTTGTGTTGCAGAGGTACAGACACAACATTCAGACCAATCCCACAAATTGGGACAGTGGCAACAGACAGTGGAGACAGTGGATAGCACTCTCGCTTCTCAACAAGAAGGTCCTGGGTTCGAATCCTGGTGGGAACAGGGTCTTTCTGACTGGAGTTCGCATGTTCTCCCCGTGCCTGCGTAGATTTCCTCCGGGTGCACCGGTTTCCCCTACCACTAAAAACATGCACACTAGATTAAATCCTCCAGCTCTGGTAGTCCTGACCAAGCCGAGCATCAACATCAGGAAATGGGTTCCCGGGCGCTGTTACGACGGCGGTCACTGCTCCTGACGTAGGCCTTAGTGGCATCAGGGTGGGTCAAATCCAGAGGATTAATTGCCCTATAGGGCACCTTTACAGTGGAGACAGTGGAGACAGTGGAAAAACACCTCTCAAATGACAGACATGTGTCACAAAACCAGTACTGGGTGAAGAAACATAATCAATGCAAAATGGTTTGAAGTAATCCAAGGAGAGACCAGTGGGCTTGTGAGGCAATCCCACAGCACCCAAGAATGCAGAAAAAAAGAGACACTTTTTGGTGTCTGTTCTTGAGGGATACATCTTGTGACTTAAACAAAAAAAGCAAAACTCTAAGACACCGGTTTGCAAACAATACGTTTAGAGCACAGTACTTTACTCATCGTAATGCCCTGACAACGGACTCACTCTCAAACTCCCAGAAATCACAATGCTCTTCCCATCAATGGAATCATAGAAAGGTACAGGATCCTTCCTATAAGGGAAAAATCCACCAAACATGCAGTGCAGTCAAGTTGTTATTTCACCACCTCACCTTTTTATTCTCAAACACTGTTATCCTAAAGTTCAAGCCCCAAACTGTCATGAAAATGGAGAACTGGATATTCTATATAATTAGCTTTCTGTTTAAAATGTAAGTATTCTGCATGTCAATGTAAATATACAAACATATTTACTCACCATAGCTACACAATTGGCGCCTATAAATTCCCTCCAATTGTAAAACTCATCTTATCTGCATCTTGGGCACAACAAGCCTCCAGCAGAGATAAAGAGAAGGAAGTAGTCCCATTTGATTGGTAAATGGTTCTTTGTTGTCAGATAGTGCGGGACGGAGTGGTCGGACGCAACCCCTATAATTCAACATGAGGAGGAGGAGACTGAACTTGAACGTGAGTCATCAGCCAACACAGACAGAACCAACAAAAGGCTTACAATGAATCACTCTCATTATTGAATATAGAAGTGCAAAAAAAGGTACAAGTGTTTTTCATGTAACAGTTGGATTCTCTATAATTAAGTGAGTCAACTGACTAAAACAACCTGTTCCCACGGATAGACACGCCATAGATCCAGGACTCAGGCTGGATAAAGACAGCATGTTATGGTCTGATTTCTTCACAACATCTTACTTTTACACAATTCTATATGTTATAAAAGCATTAGGCACCCCTGCTTTAACTCTTTAATAGTTTCCTCAACCAATTGGTGGATCACTTTTTCTCTATAGTCTCTATATTTACAGTACTTGAAGCTTAGAACTGAAATCTACCTCTTTGGGGCATATATCCCTTGGTTTTAAGCACTTTTACCATCAAACTGCATCTTAACTATTTGGTAGAGGCCTATGTATTATTATTAAAAAAGCTTAAAACACGTATTTACATTACTTTCTTCAAAGTGTGAACATAAAAGGGTTAACCATGTTGTAGCTTTAAATTACTTTAATCCCACAACCTTGACTCAATTATTCATGGCCCACATCTTTTGATGATGTGAATTAAACCCTACGTACAGGATACGTTCTCAAAGTCCATGTATGCTTGTGCAGCAGTTTCACTCCACACAAGCCCTGCCCTCTCTGCTGCTACATGCAAACCTGCCCATAATAGCTGCTACACTGCATACAGTAATGCCCCTATATAAGCGGCCTATATGCTTGAGTAAGCTGTCACCACTTCCTTTGACCATGCAGGCAATGTGCAGATCACGCCAGCAGTCATGTCCATGTGCAGAGGCTAGATTTTTCCCCACATGTCTTTATTTGATGTTCAAGTATAGGTCACGGGGCGACAGTGGCTCAGTTGGAAGAGCATTGGCCTTGGAGCCTGAAGGTTGTGGGTTCGAACCCACCACAATACCTACTTCATGACTCGCACTGATGATTGCTGTCGCTGTGTCCTTGGGCAAGACACTCAACCCCACTTTGCCTGGAGCCCCTGCTGAATAATCAAGGCTCCTGTGGATCAGTGAGGGGCTGATGCTATGTGTACTGGGTGCAGCTCTGATTGCCACCCCCCTGACCCAGAAATGGATTAAGGGGAGAAAATGGATGGATGGTGTTATGTATTGATTACAACAGAAGGGACTACTTTCTCTCGAGTATACGCACAGCGCATATGTAACGAGTACGCGGGTAGCGTACTGATTTCTTGTACTTTGAATGACACCTGTCAAGTAAAGACGTTACTGAAGTCACCGGAGTTTTCTGTATGTTCTTCTGAAAAGTTATGTAAGAGACAAACATAACAAAACTGGCGACGAGGATTTACAAGAACCCATAAAAGCCTCTGGATGAATAACGGCAAGTAAAAAGGGTAAAAATGGACTTGGTTTGGTGAGAGAAATTTTTGTTGGCTCACTCCGAAGACAAACTAACGGGAGGTGGGGACGAAGTACCGTTACAGTAATCGGACGCAATAAAGTGACAGAGTGTCGGGATTTGTTGGACATATGGACACATTTGACAGCTCCATAGAGTAGAGAGAGAGACTGGTCAATTTATGTTGAAAGATTTGACCAGTACTGCCTTGCTAACGGGATAGAGGAAGAGAGGAAAGTCGCGGTTCTTCTGAGTCTCATGGGAGCGAAGACGTATAACCTCCTCCGCAGCCTCATCGCACCAGCCAAACCCGCAGACAAAACTATTGAGGAGATTACAAGAACACTCAAAAATCATTTGAATCCAGCACCGCTAGTGATCGCGGAGCGCTTCAGATTCCATAAGAGAAACCAAGCAAAGACTGAGACAGTGTCAGAGTACATCGCAGATCTGCGAAGACTGGCGGAACATTGTCAGTTCGGAGAGGGACTATCTGACGCATTGAGAGACCGGTTCGTCTGTGGTCTGCATAACGAGAGTACGCAAAAACGCCTTTTAACAGAAGAAAGGCTCACCTTACGGCGTGCGGTGGATATCGCTGTGTCAGTGGAAACCGCTGCAAGAGACGCCACTGAACTACAAGGTAAACAGCCCGCTGCATGCTCCGTGTACAAACTGCACTCAAAGCATCCATCCATCCATCCATTTTCTTCCCCTTAATCCATTTCTGGGTCGGGGGGGTGGCAGTCAGAGCTGCACCCAGTCACAGAGCACCAGCCCCTCACTGATCCTCCTGCAGGTGGTGAGTCCACAGGAGCTGAAATCAGCCTCACTCAAAGCAGCGAAGTGTCAAATCAAAGCCTTGCTTCAGATGCGGTAAACAGTCACATGACCCAGCTGAATGTTGGTTTAAAGATAAAGATTGCAGACAATGCAACAAAAAAAGGACAGTACATTGCACCAGACATGACAGTGGAAACCAACTCCACACCAGAATCTATTGACTGTCCCAGACCTGTCATAAACCTGTCTGATCCTCCGGGACGCAGATATCCTGAGAGGCACCGCAAACCTCCTGACAGACTTGGTTCATAGACTAAAAGTGTTGTATAAACCAAGTGTTGTAACAAAACAAAAATGTTATGCATTTAAATGTGCATTTGTTATTGAAGTTGTTATTGAAGTTGTTATTCAAGTAACCATTTATCTTACTTTTGATTTTTGTTTGATAAGAGCATAAAAGCTGGAAGGGAGGAATTGTTATGTATTGATTACAACAGTAGGGACTACTTTCTCTCGAGTATACGCACAGTGCATATGTAACGAGTACGCGGGTAGCGTACTGATTTCTTGTACTTTGAATGACACCTGTCAAGTAAAGACGTTACTGAAGTCACCGGAGTTTTCTGTATGTTCTTCTTAAAAGTTATGTAAGAGACAAACATAACAGATGGGTAGGTTCAAAACATGTGTGTTATTATGTTTTTCTTTGTAATGAAGTGTTGGACATAATTATAAACATATTGATTGATTGATTTCATATTTTCAATCACTGGGCGTTGTCCTGAGATGGAGCATATAGCCAACATACTTTACACATGCAATTCTGTCATTTAACTTACAATGTTGGTTTCCTCCGGGTGCTCTGTTATCCCCTACCACTAAAAACATGTACAATAGGTCTGGCATGCGCCTCCTGTCCGGCGACCTTGCTCCCATCTCTGTGTGGATTGAGAGACAATTGCCCAAAATTGAGAAGCGGTTTGTGACTCTTTTCTGTGAAAGGCGCTATATAAATAAAGTTTTCATGCTGACTTTGTCAAACTGAGATTGGTTGAGAGTTTGTAAAATGTTGTTAATTGGCTTTCATCTTGTAAAATCTATAATAAATGAGAATATTTTGAAAATGGACTGTAATCTTAACCCTCTATTTCACCAGTAAATGACTCCAATATGAGTGCTTCATTTCATCATAATTCAAACAACAAAAGGAAAAGCATGTGTTAATTGCTAAGACAACAATTCTAATTTCTAATCTCAGCGGTGTCAGTATTTTTCATCTCAATATCTGCTTGATTAAAAACAGTAGGTCAAAATGGCGTGAATTTGAGAGGGAATTAGAACAGGATAATGAGGTAGAAATGTGACTTGTTGTAATATAAGAGAAATACAGAGAGGCAGAAAGCTAGATAAAGGATGAAGGATAGATACAAACTTGTACAGTATATATCATCAAGAAGTGAAGTTATAATTAATTGTCCCCACAGGTAAATTTGTCCTCTGCATTCGAACATTTCTTTACTGGTGCTTCGGGCGACAGTGGCTCAGTTGGTAGAGCATTGGCCTTTGAGCCTAAAGGTCGTTGGTTCAAGCCCACCATAAGACCTACTTCACATCTCCAACTGATGACTGCTGTCATTGTGTCCTTGGGCAAGACACTTCACCCTACTTTGCGCGAAGCCCCCACTGAAAGATGTCAGCTCCTGTGGACTCACCACCTGCAGGAGGATCAGTGAGGGGCTGGTGCTATGTGTACTGGGTGCAGCTCTGACTGCCACCCCCCCGACCCAGAAATGGATGAAGGGGAATAAATTGGATGGATGGTGCTGGGGTCTTTATCAGGAGCAATGGTTGGCCCATTTCCAGATATTGATGGAGGATTTATTAGTGGTACGGGAAACCGGTGCACCTGAAGGGGACCTACACAGACACAGGGAGAACATGCAAACTCCACTCAGAAAGGCCCTGTCCTGACTGGGATTCAAACCCAGGAATCCTGCTAAGAAACAAGAGGGTTTATCACTCAGACACCATGCCGGAAAGGTAAGTATTTTTTATTTGTATAGCACATTTCCAAAATTCTGGGAAGATGTTTCTGTTTTTTTTGCTATGTATACACACATTGTATTCCTCCACAATGACATACTCGTCCAGATGAGCTGCTGAACAGTCATAGCCAGTACAAAATGGGCCAGCTGCCTGTGCGTACATAGTGTGAGCATGAGATTATTTGCTTTTGTCCACATTAACCAGTGTGGCTCGAAGCCTGCAGTCTGGTTTCTATGGGTGGTAGAGAAGAGAGTCTACTCCCTGTGGCGACAACACACATAAGTACAATAATATTCAACAGGACAATAAACTAAGTTGGTAGAGAATGGACTTAGGCTTTTTATCTGCAGATTAAAAGACAAAATGCGTTCAAATGAAGATAAATACTACCCTTTTTAAGCTGTTACAAGTCCATTTAATTTCAATGATATGCAGTTGCAATGATCCTTCCTTTTCCAATCCAATTTTAAGGATCTAACTAGAGCAGCACCCTGTTTTGGACATTGATGCTTTATGAAAATGTTATGTTTGTAAAGGAAAATATGTAATCAAAATAATATTGCTGTATCAAATTGAAGTCCTACTACAAATTTATATAGGCTATTGTACAAAGCAAGGACTCGCTATATGTCACTTTAAATCTATCATATATTGGTTTCACATCTCAACCATTTGGTAAAGGCAAATAATAACAAAACAAAAAAACAAGGGGCTAAAACAAAAAAACAAAAAAACGAATTACAATTATTAGTATTGTATTTTCAACAATGTAAAAATACTTTGCTCGTTTGTTTAAGACCTTATCACAATATAACACATGTTCCAAATTGAGATTGGAAAATACCTGTAGCACTATAACTTTGAAGTAAAAATGGCTTAATGATGCCTCCACTAAAGTCGGCTCCTCCACATGACGGCAGCTGGGAGCTAAGAGTGGTCAGTGTTACAAAGCGTGGCCAGTGCGTGACGACAGTGTTAGCAGTTAGCCGCCGCGCTGTCATTAGCAGAACACATTATGTACTCAAAACAGCACGGCTGGAGTCAAACTGCTGTCAGTGTAATTACCTCCAGAACACTTTGTGGCCAAGGCGCATTTGAATCAGTTCTGCTCCTTCTCAGGCTGTCTGTCTATCGCACTGTGCTTTCCACCAACTGAAGGTCCATTTTTCTTTTGCTGGTTTACATAATTATGTTAATTCATGCAGATTATATTTTATAAAGATGGTAACTGAAACTATTAAAGATACAATGCAGAATACTCTTGCCATTGTTGCATTAAAAGGCCATCGAGTTTCATTGTGCATTCTTACTCTGCAATAAAACATGTGATGATGAACATATATCTGAACTTAAGATTAGAACTGCTATTTTCTCAATATAAATATTTTAAGAAAGTATTGTTCAATATTTACTTTAGGGCTTGCAAATACTGTGGATCATGCTGTGGATCAAACGCACTGGCTGGTTACTTTTAGTGGTGTTTTTGCTGGATTTGGATTTTTATTGCATTTTGTTATCTGTTATTTTTCAGTTTTTGGGTACTCTTTGTTTTTCAACATGACAATAAATAATGAAAAATCTTTATTAATGAATTCATTTTCTGCTCCTTTATCAATCAAAGCACCAGTCCATCGCTGATCCTCCAGCAGATGGTGGGTCCACAGGAAGAGGGCTACTGCTCCGTCATCAAAGATGAGCCTTGGTGTTTCAGCACGGGCTTCGGGCAAAGTGGGATTAAGTGTCTTTTAGGCCCAAATACCAATGCTCTACCAACTGAGCCACTGCCGCCCCTATCTTAAAATCATATTTAGAAATGGCCAATATGGCATGTTGGTGTGCACCGTACTGCGTACTTGTGGTTGTAGAGCCCATTAAAAGCAGGTGCGTGTGCACATGAGTCTGGGGCTCGGTGCGGTGGTTGTGTGTTTGGTGACTGGCAGCTTGTTTGGTCTGGAGCTACGTTTCCGCTTTTGCCTTGAGTTTGGTGCTCCACACTTGAGGTAAGTCGCTCGTTGTCAGGCTTTCATTTTTGGCTCTGCCAAAGCTGAGTATAAAACTGTTTGCTCCAGATCCTGAGCTGCAGCTAGGCTGCAGCACTTGTCCTAGCTTAGCTCCAAAACTAGAATCAAGTGCTCAATATAGTTTTACAAGACAATTAACCCCACTTTGCCTGAAGCCCCACTAAAAGATCAAGGTTATGCTCTCAACGACAGAGCAGCATCCTCCTGTGGACTCACCACCTGCAGGAGGATCAGTGAGGGGCTGGTGCTCTGTGAATTGGGTGCAGCTCTAACTGCCACCCCCCCAATTTCAAAATATTTGTTTTACCATTTTCTCATGGGTCTATAGTGTTTTTAAATGTTATAATTTTTTGTAATCCGTCTCACGTCTCCTATGTCAACAAATTATGCGTCCTTATTTTACAAATTATTTGGTTGGTCCCTAACCACCGTACAGTTAACAAACGTTCTTTCTTTACACCCTCACTATACACAAAGATGAAAAATAAAGCTGATTCGCTAAAACGTGTTGATCCTGCAGAGCCACTCTCACATCAGGATGTCTTAGTGCAGCCATTTTTAAAGAGCACTTCTGATTTCTGCTAGATCATTCAGAAACTGTTCCTCCTGCTCACATGCACTTTCCCTCTGCTCGCATCAACTTCAATTAAGTCGCCGATCAAACTTCACAGCCTCTGCCCTGTTTCCTCCACCTGCTTTGAATTCCTTCTGGCCTTTCTCTCTGGCCCAGATGACTCGAATGATAAATTATGGAGAGGGTCGATGTTTGTCCACAGCTTATAGGTTTGATAGTAAAAAGCAGTGGAGGCCTTCGCTGCTGCGGTTTATGCAGTGTCCTTTCCCCTTGGAGGCAGGCAAATCACATCGGGTCAGGAGGAGGAAGATAGCTTTACTGGCACTTGTTAGCCGCAGGCAGAAGGCTAAAGCCCTGAGGGATTGTGAGATTCATGTCAGGAATACATGAGAAAGTAGATGATAAAACACAGAAAACCATGCGAAAGTAGGCCTCCAATAAGGTACAGTACAGTAAATAAAGTCATCTGAAAGTTCCTGAACGGAGTGAGTCTGCAACAAGCACTCTGCATTTAGGCCTGGTGTAGATGGAGCTCTAACCTCTTCAGCATCACATCTGCTGCTTAGTGCTCAGGTTGTCAAGTTGACCTGTTGCTGGGTCGTGGAGGCAGCAGTCTAAGCAGAGATGCAAAGACAAATGGGCAACTTTATAAAGTTGTGCTTTAGGGCTAT